TAAGACTCCTGATCCATATGATCCAACGGTAATGACATCATGCACAATTCTTCTTCGTTTTGGAACGCGTCGTAACTCTTCTGCCCATCGGGGCAATAGTGGAGGGGACTCGTGATGGTCGCATTCTCGCGTTGCCAATGTTCTTGGTTCGGACAAAATTTCTCCTGGTAAAATGTCCACGCGTCGATCAATTTCTTCAGTTTCGTCCAACTCTTGTATAGGGGAAGCGGCACATCGTGACTCATCTTCTCCACTGCTTTGTCCATCTCCTCCCTAGTAACGGACATTTCCCCGTCAAACATATATTCCAATAATACGTGTAGCGGTACCTCATCGTCATTCTCCTCAAGTCTGACTCGCTTCTTCTCTGGCATTTCCCGCTCCATCTATGAAAAAAAAAAAAAAAATTTGGCAAAGTCTAGAGAGCATTCGAGAGGCAAAGTCCCTAAATTAAAAACTTAGTCTCAAAAATGCTCAATAGAGCAGAGTCAAAGTTTTTTGCAGGCTCACCATCCAAGGGGGCAGGCAGTCCAGGCAGCAGGCAGGCAGTCCTTCCAGGCAGGCAGGCAGGCAGGCAGGCAGGAGGTCTTGTCCCTTCGAGTCCTCGGCGAAGACTGAATTTTCGAGCCGAAGGCAGCTCCTTTTATATCGTGCGGTTGGCCTTCGCGACCTGGATAAACCGGTTAGCGTCCTTGGCGACGCCCAAAACCAGTTCTGCTAGTTGCCTATATAATGAGCGAGCTAACCCTACTAAACCTCAGTCTACTACGACGACTCGGACGGGAAGGATGGACCCTCTGCCAGGACCAAGCAGCACTAGTAGTGGCCAGGCTGGTGGTGGAGAGAAGGACGGAGGACTGGGGGCTAATATTCGGCGCATCTTATTGGTGAGTCTACCTGTTAATGACTAATTAGTTGATTAATTAGTAATTAGTTAATTAATTAATTAATTATTTAAAAAAAAAAAATTAAAAAAAAAAAAAAAAAAAAAAAAAATTGGATGTTGTTGCAGTTGTCGTAGCTAAGTATAAAAGAGTTATATATATATATATATATCTTCTTTAGGATACCGACGACGACGACGACGACATGAAGATTGAGGATTCCCCCGTGTCCAGGGCAATAGAGTGCTCCCTGGATTTCAAGGAGGATTTTCTCCGATTGGTCGTCGATAAACTCGTCGAGTTTGGAAAGAGGGAAGTCGAAGCACGCATGCATAAGGAGAGGGTAAAAGCGCAGAAGACACAAGAAGAAAATCTTAAGGAAAGGGATATTTGTGCCAAGGTGCTTCGAGGCAATTACGATCATCTGGTCATTGTTCGGAGAGAAGATGAAAGCGAAAATGATTACTGTCAGCGGATGGTACGAGCAATGGACGAAGAATGGGACAGAGTAGTCAATTGGTTGACGAATAACGAGATATGCAGGCGATGTGGGTACAAGAAACAATAAAAAGTTTCTTTATTATGGCTTGAATGGTACAGAGAGTAACTTGGCAGTTCCGGCAGATTCGTGATATGTGTAGTGGCCCAAGTGTGTTTGTCGGTTAGCTGGGATATACTTGTTTACCTTAGTTTTGGTAAAGTGTTGGTGGCACGCGCTGTTAATTTTTTGCATGGGCGATATTGTATCGTTGCTCGAGTGAAGCACCAGTTCTGTGTCCACCTGGAAAAATGCCGACACGTCTTGAAATTTATCGTTGCTGCCCGGAGAATCGATCGATTTTTTGCTTACTGCCAAAATTCCAAAGCCCACGCTAGGCTGCGCCTTGCTGCAATTGGGGGGATTGTGTATTAAACCTTGGTGGCTGTGTTCGCGCTCGATGGGCCTGTCGTACTCGCTGTCAAAATCCTCTCGCTGTAGCATTATTACGGAATTTTGCACGCTGGTGTCCTTGATTGTAGAGTCCAGGGTCGAAAGTTGTTTTCCCATTACGGTCGAAGGGGCGGCTATGTACGTGTTGGAATCCCCGCACATTGGGGCGCACGTACGCAGCCAGCCGTTTTGAAAAGTGTAATCGTAATTAATTATGGGAGTGCCAACGTGACTTTTGAAGGGGAAAGTGTTAATAAACTTGTTGGTGCGGGGTGCAAAGTCGGCACAATGAATAAAGTCGTAACAGTTGTTGTGCCGCGGTACCCCCATGCACGTGGGGATTGTGTCGGATTTTGTTAAAGTGCCGCTACTGTCCATGCTTACGCCCCAGTACTTTTCAATGAAGAGGCGATGGTCGTTTGTGTGAAACTCGCTCGGTTCCGTCGTTACCATTTGATTGTCTGTCGTGCCCGTGCCCGGCTTGGCCATGCCCGTGTCCAGGTACAAGTTTAATCCCACCGAACTCACCCCGTACACCAACATGTCTGAATTGACCGGCTGTACTACGGTAGATCCAGTTTTCCAGGGAGTGCGGATGCCGTGAGGCGTTATTTTTGCGCGGCAAGAAAGGGCTTTGGTGTCTGGAGGCAGCGATTTAAAAGTGCCCGGTGTAATATAGAGGTAG